AAAAAAAAAAAAAAAAAAAAAAAAAAAAAAAAAAAAAAAAAAAAAAAAAAAAAAAAAAAAAAAAAAAAAAAAAAAAAAAAAAAAAAAAAAGAACAACAATTACTCTCACAAACTTATCCCTTATCCAATCTTAAGCAGGTAATTTTAAGTTCCAGCTATGTTTAAAGGCATTGTACTCTCTTTAACATTTTAAAATTCACTATTAAAAAAAAAAAAAACAAATTTCCCTAAGAGGGAAATGAAGCATGTGAAATCAATCAATAAACATGCATATACAAAATATAACATATGGCCAGGTGCGGTGGCTCACACTTGTAATCCCAGTACTTCCTTGGGAGGCAGAGGAAGATGGATCACCTGAGGTCAGGAGTTCGAGACCAGCCTGGCCAACATGGCAAAACCCCATCTCTACTAAAAATACAAAAATTGGCTGGGCGCAGTGGCTCACGCCTACAATCTCAGCACTTTGGGAGGCCGAGGTAGGCAGATCACAAGATCAGGAGTTCAAGACCAACCTGGCCAACATAGTGAAACCCCATCTCTACCTAAAGATAAAAAAAAAAAAAAATTAGCTGGGCTTGGTGGTACACGCCTGTAATCCCAGCTACTCAGGAGGCTGAGGCAAGGAAAATCGCTTGAACCTGGGAGGCGTAGAGGTTGCAATGAGCCAAGATCACACCACTGTACTCCAGCCTGGGCAACAGAATGAGACTCCATCTCAAAATAAATAAATATACATATATACACATCAGTTTTACTATAGCTTGTCAATATCTATACAGTTAAAAGCCTCACCTGGATTTGAAACAATAAGCAACTTGCAGTTCGGGCTGTATTTTACAACATTAGGAATGATGAATTTAAAGATGTTCACATTACGCTGGACCAAATTAAGACGGCTTTCTCCCTCTTGCTGACGTGCCCCAGCCGTAATAATGACCAGCTTGGAGTTTGCAGTTACATTATAGTCTAGAGAAAAGGGAAATAATGACGAGATTAAGGCCTTTAGAATAACTTTTACCTAGTCGCAAAAATTTGTTCCATAAATGCCCCAGAGACCTTTCCTTATTGTTTTTATTTAGTTTTCTCATTATGGCTTCTTAAATGGAGGAAGGGCATGCCAACACCCTCCTTGTATTCTAGCTTTAGTCAAGTTGTAACTTTATATAACAATTAGGGGGAGCTGGAGGGAATCAAGTTTATTATTTGATTCTTATATTAACTTCTTACATAGCCTCAATTTTTTTGTTACCCAAGCTCAATGTTCATACTTTTCCATACTCCTGTTTCTAATTAACCACTTAACTGGTGCTCTATCAGTCCAGGAACAGGCAATTTTCGTGTGTGTGTGTGTGTGTGTGCACGTGCGTGTGCTTGTGTGGTGTGGGAGTTGTTGTTTTTAAGCAGAGACAGCTTTACACTTAACAAGCATATTTTTCCTCTAGATACCCTATAGCACAAATTAAGTCAGGGATGAAGATGAAGGGAGTTGCCCAACAGGAAGGTGGCCAGTGATTTTCAGGTATCAAAACAGACACCATTTGGGCCCACATTCAGGTTTCTTGGATGGTGCTGTTAAGTGTGAAAGGGTCAAGCCAAGAATATCCGCTGAACCGTCTCATTTACCCTATTATCAACTTTGTGCTGCAAATGTGAAAGGATGTGGGGGCAAGTTAAGTATATCTAATAAAAGTATTTAACACAATGTGGTTAAATACAGACCTAAGGTTTAAGCTCTGCTATTACGTTCTCATTCAGATGGTTTCCACAGCATGGACAAATTGGATTTCTATTTTAAACCATTTACTAGAAATTGAAACTTTGATATTCATAGGTACCGAAGTGAAATTATTCCCAGGCTCATGTACCCTGCATTTAAATAAAATCTTTAAAGAGCTAGGATTTTAAGCCTGATAAAGCATTTAAGTCTAAGTCTGGGCACAGTGGTTCAAGCACTTTGGAAGGCTAAGGAGGAAGGATCACTTGAGCCCAGGGGTTCAAGGCCTGGGCAACACCGCGAGACCCCATCTCTACAAAAAG